GAGGTTGGCTGGCAAATAATTACGATCGCCCAACGAGCGGTATGCACGTAAATACGGTGCGCAAAATAATAAAATGGCCATTTGGTTTTACAACTTCTTCCAACGAACAGTTACTCATATTTCGCTGATCAATGAAGAAAGACTTGAAATGGCAATTATTCCGGAATTTCTGAGTAGATTTGCCGCTGATTTACCGCGGGCTAATGGTTCCAAAGTACACGTGAAACAACTGTTTATATGTACGCACGCAGGAACGTGGTCAAGAGAGTTATTCATGACGTTATCGGTATTTTCAGCACTACTTTTTGCGGTTAGCATTATTATTCACTGTTTCAATCTGATTCTCTATGTCTTTCACCTTGATTTTGATCAGATTCGCAGTTGGCTGGGTATTCCGTCCAGCTCACTAATCGATTGCTTATTCTGTTTGTTCCTCTTCTCCCCTCCTTTTTGATCCAAGCGTCCTAATTGTCTATGCCCTGGCGAATGGCGGCCTCCTACTATTCATGCACCGGATATCTCGAATTATTCCAACGTGTGATTCAATTGTTTCGGGTGTGCCGTGCAAATTTGCCGCTCGCTCCTGGGTGTCGCGGTCAGTGCGTTTGGGCATGTGGACCGGTTTCGTTTTGTTGACACTCGTGTCGTGGGTAAGCGCTCACTATCTCGATAAACATATCGTAATGGAAAATAACAGTGAGATTGCCCGTTTCGAGGCTTGCAATCGTCAAGCTACTTGTGGAATATGGGTTTGATTGTTGTTGTTGTTGTTGTTGTTGTTGTTGCCTCATGTAAACATCGTTTGGAAAAACAGATGATGAAATGTATTCCGTACGATTGTGTTTTATTGCTATTTTGATTAATAACAGGAACATAGCTGTTCTTAACATGACCATTACGCATGGAGTTTCCAGCGGAGCATTGAATGAGTTCACAGAACATCCATTTGCTTTTTTCGTGCCTATTCTTCCAAAAGACCGTATCCTCCTAGTGACATGCCCTGTCAACCTTTAATGAGTGCCCCACATACAACATTCAGATCAGTATTTGGTGTGGTAGTGGCGCAGTGTTTTAGTCTCTGTCACCGGCGTGCTTTGGACCCTATGGTCCGAGGTTTGATCCCCTCCACCACCATCCGACTTTTTGGTGGTAGGCAGCTCTGCTGTCATCCGGCTCAATACCACGCCCAACCTATCGGGGCCTTATGTGGTTCGCCACTCCAAGTCCCCGGGGCTTAGGTTGCCAGTTTCCACCACTGAACAGCAGGTTCGCGTGACTATGGGATTCGACCCGTCTGCTGTTCATCACACGTGGGTGTGTAATTAAAAAGAATATCCGCAACAGTTTATTTGTACGTTAGACCAATAGAAAACTGACGAATTGGGATAATTTAATGCACTCTAATTATGTTTCACTCCTTGCTTATTCACCTTTCTGGTCGGAAGATTTTGGTCAGAGTGTATTCTGAAACACAAGGATCTTCACAGAAACAAAGAGAACTTTGCATAGTAATGTTTAGTCTTGCTTAAGTATTCAAGCCATAGACAACCCAAGTTTCTCACTTTAGTTCAGTTCTCACGACCATTAACCGTGCATTTTCGTGCGCCGGTTTTGGTTGCCCATTTTAATGAAAAGCGGAATGAATGTTGACAGCAGATTCAAGCGGAAGATAGCGCATTTACAAAGACTGAGGTTACAAGAATAATGAGTAGATGCATGAGCGCCACTGTTTGCGACACCCAGCCATATCGCTCAGTGTCTCTAACCATGGATGACCATGATCTCGGGGTCCCCAGTCAGGGAGCCCAACGGGACCTATGTTCTCACTTCAAGTAAATTCGTATGCTTTCACTTTGAAAGTGTTTCCGATTTATGGATAATTGTAACGTGAAAATTGCCGTTTTGCAGATAACCTTTCGGACGATCGGTGAGAGAAAAGAGTACGATAAAGGACTAAAAGAAACCTCCAATTCTGTTATTATTATTATGACTGCGTTATCCGGCGAAACTAAATCATATAGACAAACCAATCAAGTGATCTTCGAAAGAACCATTGATGTGCAAATATTCTTCAAACAGGTCATTCCAAACTGATTTATAATCCTGTCTCTTGTTACTGCAATCGTTGTTAAACCATTTCATCTAAGGTGTTCTGTTGCAATTTTACAGCTATTGCACAATCGTTTATCACATCTCTTCTATTTCTCTACTATCTTCCCTAGCTGGGTGCCGCGCAACTGTCTGATTCTTTTATCCTAATTACAATGGGTTTTTCTGTTTGTTTGGCCGGTCTGTTCATTCTGCGTTACGCAGATCAAAATGCTCATTCGATTTCATCGTCATCGAGTGAGACCACAACTACGATACCAGATCCCAACAGCTCCAATCTGTTCAACATTACCTTGGAGTCATCGTCAGCTGACCAGCTCAACCACCAAGGGGGTCTCGACACAAATCTGCCTAGGTTTATCAACCAACCGGTATCCGTTGATATTGTCTCGTCTGTGACCAAGCTGCGAATAGTTCTGTAAGTTGTTCTTGAGGTATTTATTCCTGTTCATGCCTGGTGCCGCTCATCATCTAGTGGATTTCCTTTAACAATATTATTGTTACCATTAATATTTTCTTGTATCAACTTGACGCATAGTTAATGCATCACAATTCTCACTTATGAGGAGCTGTGGTCAGATAATGATAAGCGATTATGGACTTGCATCAGTGAAATGCGTCATGGATGAACGCTGCTATATGCTTAATATCGAACAATTACTTAAGTTGGAAATGTTTGTGATGACCGAAAAAGAGCACTCGATAGCTGATTCGTCCTGTTTTGGACTCATCAGCAGTGCGTACATTTTGTCTCCCTGTTAGGACTCGAACTGCGAACTTTCGGGTTGGAACTTCAAACCCTTACCACTGAGCTACATGGTCGGTGGCCATCACTTTGTGCGAATGGCTCAGTCGGTCTTGAGTATCAAGAGGACCTAGTGCCTCTGAATAATCGAATGGGCTAATCCAAGCTTGATACCGTAGATTAGTCGAATTATTTACAATTTGCCACTTCTTATTTCTTCATTGTACCCTCCAATAAAACCTTTTGGTCTTTCCCTCCTGATCTATTCTCTTCAAGAAGATCGCTTATCGCGTTATTTTTCATTTCAATGTGGATTATTTCCATCGTCGCAGAAAATTACCTTCGTCAGTCCAATAGACTTGCATAGGAAATTGTGAATGTGAACCGTACTAGATCGGCAGTTATTCAACGCGTTTTCATTTCAACCGGTATTCGATCTGTTGTGAAAAATTGAACAAATCTGTACGTTCCTGCATTCACGTTCTTCCTGTTGATAGAACCGTGCATCTTACTGTCATCAATCAATGTGCCTTTCAAATCTTGTGTTCATACCAGGATTTGGGTCTGTATGTGCTTTTCACTGTTAGTTGAAAAATCTACTGTCTCTGATAAATATGCTTGAAAAGTAAGCGTTTCTCGGCCCTCAGATTGTAATTCGTAAACCGGAGAATGTGAAGGACATCGCAAGTAACTGATTGCAGTTGCGTCCTTGATATTGTTTCTTATTAAGTCGAAAAAGTCAATGAAGTATGTATGTACAAATATCACAAACTGCGTTATTCTAGCAAGCGCAATGTTTGACATGTTCACGGCTCTGTGTAAATGTGACCAAATCACTTCTAGCTTTTTTGTTGTTTTCCAAAATTGTGGAGTGTTTCAATAAAGCCGCTTGGAAAAAACGGCAAGGAATGAATGGATGCAATGTGGAGGTGGTTTACATTGCGAGTGGTGTTCTGCTTACCTGTGTGGCAGAAATTGGTTTCGGGTCGTTTTCTTGATGATACTTCCGTTTTCTCTTTTCGGTTCTTCAGTTTACTCTTGGGCTCCACGTTTCTTTATTCGACCTGGATATTACATCGTCCCTCGGAGACTGAATATTCCAGTCAGTCACTGATTGTATTGCTCGCCTTCGCCCTGTTTGCTTTGGGTCAAATGACGGTTGGCTGTCCACGATTTATCGTCTCATCTCGGGTGAGTTCACAAACTCCATCACACTCGAATCTGGCCATGACCGTCTCACTTTCGACCTCGTTTTCACCAAGTTATGTTCACTTTTCACGTCTGAGATTGGTTCACCTATCGGATACCGTGTTTGTATTGCCACAATGAATTATATTGATTGTCTAATTAGCTTATGTCTTCCTGATGGGTTTGAAATAAAACCACCAACTGCTATCCGCCTGGTTTGCGAAATTCTATTCGTTTTCTTGATCGACGAATTGATGGACACGGCGCTCCGTGAACTAATTTTGGGAGAAAAACAACAGCCAAACGGATACGAATTCTCTTTCCGATTAAATCGTTCGGTTTTTATCTCTGCAGCGCTCTCGTTTACTCACATCTCCGTTACTCATGCACGCTATGACAATATCAACTGTATACAAATGATCTATTTCGAAATAGTATTTTTAACTGTTGACAAACCGTTGGGTGTGGAGTGGGAGTGTATCAGCTAACTTCATTTTGTCTCTTGACCGCGACAACTTTCAAGGTGGTCTGTCAATATTCTGCGTAATATCTTAACTGTGTTATTTTTTCGACCGGGACTACTGACCAATGGTCATCGATCATCTTCGGAATGCGTTGTTCGTTATTCCGCAAAATCAACGTCCCTGGTTTTCAGCATAGTAACCCAAAGCGAACAGGCGGTAAACAGAAGAAAAGAACCCTTTTCCGCCATTCCTATGTCACATTTGTGACAAATGGCTGTTTGATCCTTAGTGGTAAACTTAACTTTCCAATAGAATGACGATGAAATTATTCGCTCCTCCTTCAAAGGTTTACTACAAAAATTGAAGCTGTATTGCCACAAATTCTACCACACTCAATGTGAACCAGTCATCTAACAACTATTTCCCATGATGTATCGAGAGTTCGGTATGGTATTTTCTTATATGCGCGTTATTTCAATAACTGGGTATCAGCAGAAGGGTTGAGGCAGTTAAACCACTGTCACTGACGTGCTTTGGGGTCTAAGGTTTAAGAATAAACGCAGCCACCATCGTCCCACTTTGGCTAGCAGAAGTCTCTTTGTTGTCCGGCTCAATACCATACTTAAACTGATGGAATATTCTGTGGTTCGTCATTTCCACTTTCAGGGCTGAGGTTACCCGATGTCATGGATGAACACTACGTTCTCCTGAATAAGGTTTCTACCCCTCCTGCTATGCACCACACAACAGTACACAAACAGTTGGTTGTAAAAAAACACTTAACAGTTTTCCTTCACATGATTACTCTGTACAGCGTTTATGCAGTAATAAGGTGTTGTTGAATAGGTTAACATAACTGGAACTGTTCAACAGCAGCTTTCCAACATTTTCTCATCAGTCGAGATGTTTAGGTCGTGCTCAGAGCACTTTAGTCAGTTTGTGGTCAGTCCGCTCAGCGACCATTAGACTTCGGAATGGCTCATCTCTCAAACAATATTTTATGCGCTACCTATACACATAACTGTGCATTTGTTGATTATTGGTACTAAATACTGGGTTGCTGTTCATTCTGTGATATCACACGATAACAACAGTACTTCCCGCTCCTAACCGTGTTTTCTGCTACCAATTCAGTGATAAGAGATATGGTCATTCTAAGCTTTTCACACAACCAATAAT